TCAACGGAAGTCCAAAACGCTCGATCGTCACGTGATTCACGTAGACCTCAAATAGTTCCAGGAAGTTCATAGCGGGCAATTGAAATACATTGAGTTGGAGAGACAGAAGTGATTTTTGGTAATTAGTAGACAATAAAATAATTATTTTACATTATTTATAAAATAATGTATCAGTAGTATATATATGTAGTTATATTAGTGTTGTTTTTAAAATATAAAATCCTCTAATATTTGAGGATTAATGTGGTCAGCTATCCTTACCTGCCTTGTTAACATATTTTAGGCTGAAGTTACCATGTTAAAAGTCCGTGTTTGCTATATAAACGACATCGTGGTCTTCTGCCAAGGTAACTTCAGCCTCGCTATATAAATATAATTATATATGTGTGTGTGTGTTCTTACAACTTGCTTGTTAGTCAAGTTCAATCACAAATATACCGGTTCATTGTCGTTTTACTAATCTCATGGCAAATGTTAAGTTTGTTGTCTTAGAAAATTCATTCCAAATAAATGAAGATATTTTATTAAGTGAAAACTAATCTTGTTTAATGTTTTTGATTCGTGTGCACCCCTCAGTTATTAATATATAAAAATATATTTGTAGTATATTCCAATTTAAAACATTTTTACACAATTAATCATATATTTTATGTATGTTGACTTTTGTTATGCACTTAATTACAGCAATCGATTTATACATTTATAATAATAAAAAACATGTTGTCCTTGAACAGTCTCCACTATAGTTTGCTGTGTGCTGCATGGGAGTGCTCCAGTCACTCACAGAAAGGAGTGTGAATGTATGGTTTCCCTACTGATCTGGAGAGGAGAAAAAAATGATGCATCTTTATAGAAAATGAATGTTTCTAAATTACAAATAAGAGTTCTGTTAACAGGTGTATCTGTGCCAAAGTAATGTTCATATGGCAGAAATTTTCTAAAATTAGGCTATACAAATCATGCAGTTACGTAACATCATGTATTCAGAAACAGTTAAATATATACAGAAAGAATGAACAAATTAAAGCAATGGTTACATGATGTGATCATGTTGATTACAATGCAAGGAAAATGTAGCCGTTTTGTATGTTTATTCAGAGTCAGCTTCATCTGAAGTCCTCTCAAGGGTTGGCGTCATCTCTTCACAGGTGTTGGGTCATCTGAAGTCTTCGTAAAAGGCTGGATATAGTCAGCAGGAGCTATCTATAGATTACACCAACAAAATGTGATGTAATCATACTAGGGAACTGGCACTTTTTCATAAAGACACAAAGAGCAGGAAAAGACTTGCCAAAACCAGTGAAGAGACTCATTGTGAGGGTGATGTCTCTTTACAGGGAGTCTTCAGGTGGTTCTTGTTCTGAAAGCAAGATAGCGAAGGAAAAAAAACAGGAGAAATGGTTAAGTGATGCTCCATCACATTGCAGTCCTGTGGCATCACTGCTCCGTCTGTTCCTTCAACGCAGTACTTCTTTAGTAGCTAAGACATTTAAGCATAAAATACAGTAATAATGTATAGATTTACTGTGATATATATAATATAATATAGTGGTATATAATACCTTTTTTGGAAATTTAGCATAGCATGATTCTGAAATGAAAACTGCTCGCCTATTTCAAACTTTTCATTCTCACTTGGGTCCATCGCATCCTTTGCAATATATCCAAGTCTATTAAGTAACTCCTCACCAGCAAAATCACTTTTAAAAGCCTTAATTACACAACGATGGATGAAACTGCATGAAGAGAATGAATGACATCCTGTAAATCTACTAATTAAGTGAGGAATAATCTCTGTTTTAATGCACAGGGTAATTAGCTGTTAATATAATATACTATTTTGTTCTAGAAATGTCATACCTTTTAAAAGTTCATCACAGCGGTCTCTTCTGCTGCATCTCTACGGCGCTGATAGTATGAGCGCTAACTTCCGGGAACTATTGAGCGGCTCCACCATCCGCCATTGCTGTACACTTCTTTTTTCCACTTCAAGCACTGCCCAAAAGGCAACCACACATCATTCCTCACAAATGTATAAAAGAGATTAAGAGTATAAAGAGACTTTAAAGTTTGTCTAAACTAAATATTTCAGCAGCTCTAGACTCGGCCTAGGACACTTTCAACTACAATCACAAGAGTTCATTTTTCATGGTCTCTTGGTTCCTTTGCTGAGTTTGTCTCCAAGCTCCTGAATCAGTTCAGCAAGTTCTTCAGTGGTCTGTGATTTTCCTCCAGGAGCTCGTAGCGGAGGCTGGAAATGTCCTGCTTGATTTCTTTCAACTCACCCTGAGAAGAAAAGCCACATGAAAACAAGGGCTTAACTGGTTTCAAGTAAAACTTGGCTCCAAAATCACAGTTACAGCCATTTTTAACACTTGAACAGTTTATCGCTTGACATATACTAGATCAACATCTATCAAAAAAATGTGTTTAGGGCCTAAGTAAATCACAAAAGAGACACTAACGGATTAATAAATGAGTCTTACCTTCATTGATCTCATCACTTTCACTGTCAATTTGGGCTTTCAGGACATACCGCTTGATGAGACGCTTCATGAGTTTCTATGAGAGAAAGAAGGCTTAGAATGAGGTTTTGCCTGATGATTCCTGTACATTAACAAGTTTGGATAAACAATTAATCAGTAAACCTGATATCTTGTGGGGTGTTTGATGGGAATTCTAACTGTGAATCCCTCTTGTGCGTGGTACGGTCGAAACCGATGAAGCTGAAAAGATATCAAAATTACAAACTGTGATTTCTACATTTGAACAATTTGATCTGACCTCTCACCTTAGAGCGTGAATCGGCCATTCCCACATCCTGCTGGCTGCTGTTGCTACAAACCCTGGCCTTGCATAAAGGGGGGTGGAAGAGTGCTGCCTTCATCAAAACAGGAGAGCCTCAGCTTTGCACGAGCAAACTTCCATTCTACATCAGCGTCCTCCTGTTCTCACACACACAAATATAACCATGTTTATGACAAATTATCCTTTTGAGTATTATATTTTTTTTGCAAAAGTACATTAGTCTCACCTCAATTTCCTGGTATGAGTGGTTAATCATGGCTATGAGCATGTTGAGCAGGACCACCACCATTGTGACATTATAGACCCCATATATCACATAACCAATGTTCTCAATGAGCTTATGATCATACTTCAAGACCACAGAGATCACCCCAGATAAACCAAAGATGGACCAGAACAGCGTTTTAAAGCTTTCCTCTACCCTGCAACAGACATATACAGTATGTGAAATGTAAAATGCAAAACTTACTTTCATTGGTGGAACACAAAAACTACTGTCTTGAGCTGCTCTTTTCAAACACCAAAATGTAAGACATTAATTTGAGAGCTGAGAGGAATATTTTTGGCTTAAATCTCATTATTCCTCACACACATTTATTATACACTATTTGGAGCCTGTAAGATTTTTTGTACTGTTCTTGGTCACTGTTATGCTCACCATGGCTGCGTTTATTTGATGAAAAATACAGTAAAAACAGCATTATTTTGAAGTATTATTACAATTTAAAATAACAGTTTTTCTATTGGAATATATTTTAAAATGTAATTTATTCCTGTGATGCAAAGCTGTATTGTCAGCAGCCATTATTTCAGTCTTCAGTGACACATGGTCCTTCAGAAATCATTCTAATATGCTGATTTGCTGTAACATTTCTTATTATTATCAGTGTTGAAAACAGTTGTGCTGCCGGATATTTTTTGTGGAAACTGCTATACATTCTTTTGCAAGATTCTTTGATGAATAGAAAGTTCATACACAACATTTATCTGAAATAGAAATCGTTTGTAACATAAATATGTTTACCGTCACATTTGTGCAATTTAATGTGTCCTTGTTGAATAAAATAATTCATTTCTTGGGGGGAAAAAAGAACTGACCCCAAACCTTTGAATGGTTTATGAGTCAAATAGACTAATTGTTTTGTACTTTTATCATGTGTTTGCCTTTTGTTGAGCTTGACAGCCATGGTCACAAAAGAGGAGCCTGAACATTCTGCAAAACATCTACTTTTGTGTTTCACATGAGAAATTTGTAAAAGCTGCTAATCTGTAACAAAACGATGGGGAATAAATGATAGATTTATTCATTTATTTATACATTTTTATTTATGTATTTGTTTGTTTGTGACCTATCCCTTTAACAAGTAAATCTTAAATATAATAATTGTCATTGTAACTTTTTTGGACTTACGTTGTAAAAGCAGGGTTGTATTTAGCTCCCAAGTAGTAGGAATACAAATTAAACATGCCGATCATGAAGGCAAGGAAGACCATGATGAAGATGACCATGAATTAAAAAATATCCTTCACAGTGCGCCCAAGAGATATTTGTAGGGGTCCGAAACTCTCATTGGCCGGCAGAACAGGCGATACGTGAGAAACTGAGCACCACAGCGATGGAGTACAAGCCCTCAGAGTTGAGCTGAGGATCTGAGGGAAGCCACTTGTTCCTGGCTGAGAGAGAGGAAGCACTTTTTTGTGTTACCACTTGATGGCAGCATTATGTTTCATTTCAGACAGCTGCAAGAAAGTCTGTGCAGCATGTATAAGCATTTGATTGAGAGCAGAAACAGGCCTTCTGGTCTTTTATACATTATGTCACAGTTCACTTTAGATTTGTATTTTTTTTTAATATACAGATTCTTTATTTTTGCAACATACCGTAAGTGAAGTAGGCCACGTCTTCTGGTAATGAGCCATTGACCAAGTCTGCATTAGTCACGTGCAAATCCACATATAGCTGTGCATGGGAGGCTCGCATGAAAGCCATGAACCGTGCAGTGAATGACACCACGAAAACCGACAGCATGCCGAAGTCTAACACATTCCACAAATGCATGATGTATTCTCGTGGCCCATCATCCCAAGCCTCCTTACACTCCGTCCAGGTCATTCCTGATCAGGAAAATCGAAGAAAAGAAATAGGGTTCATTTATCATGCTTGAAATATTTAGTAATTTATTCTAGATTATTCTTAGTCTTCAGTGTCACGTGATCTTTCAGAAATCATTCTAATCTGCTGCTCAAGAAACATTTCTTCTTATTATTAATGTTCACTGTTCACAAATTAGAAGTACAAACGAGGGTTTGTAAAGAAAAATGTTGGAGGATTTCGATATAAGCCAAGAGGAGACTGGTTATCCTTTGCTAAACAAAATAAACTTTGCTTCCTTTGCTCCTGAAAACAAAATCTTGGTTATTGCAAGACTAGCATATTCTCACTAGACCTTACGCTACGCCATACATCATCCATTGGAATGGCGTTCTATTGTGAACGTACGTACATACAACAGTTAGTGTAAGCTAGAGATTACATTTATAAAGTTTTAAATATGGATATTTCCTTACAGAAATGCATCGATTCACTTCAGAAGGCCTTTATTAAGCCCACGGAGCCGTGTGGGACACTTTTTTTTATTATGGATGCACTTTATTGGATTTCTTTTGGACTATTGAAAAATAACACCCATTCACTGCCATTATAAAGCTTGGAAGAGTCAGGACATTTTTAAATATAACTCCAATTGTATTTGTCTGAAAGAAGAAAGTCATATACACCTAGGATGGCTTGAGGGTGAAGTAAATCATGAGGTAATTTTCATTTTTGGGTGAACTATCCCTTTAATGTTATTGACTTGATTGCACAAGACACTACTGGATGAGAACTGATGAGATTGTTCATTATTAAATGAGAGCTGGATGATGACATCACTGTTTTCAACAGAGCTGCTTTATAGATGATCTGAACTCATTCCATAATTTACACAGTTATTAAACTGAACTGAATCAACAATGAACTGACTTTAACTGAACAACTGACTGTTTATATTGTGCTCTTTTTAGAGCTGCTTTACAGCAGAATTTAATTTTGTTGGCATTTTTGAAACATTATTGTCCTGTTTAACACTGTAAAGCTACTTTGACACCATCTGTATTGTAGAGAAAGTGCTATATAAATTAAAGGGATCGTTCACCCAAAAATGAAAATTCTGTCATTGATTACTCACCCTCATGTCGTTTCAAACGCGTAAGACCTTCGTTCATCTTCGGAACACAAATTAAGATATTTTTGATGGAATCTGAGAGCTAAAAATTGTTTATTCAACAATTCGTCTCATCCACGTCACACTGTAACACCATTTTGTAGAGTTTTCGCTGGACGTAAACAACATATGCTGTTCTGTGTCAGCTGCGTCACACGGATACGCTGTTTTCGTTCAAGTCAAATCACAACAACGTAGGAAAGAGATCCGGCGTGATGCAGCTGACACCGAATAGCATTCGCTGTTTACAGCTCTCAGATTCCATCAAAAATATCTTAATTAGTGTTCCAAAGATAAACGAAGATCTTACGCATTTGAAATGACATGAGGGTGAGTAATTAATGACAGAATTTAAATTTTTGGGTGAACTAACCCTTTAAGGCGACTTGACTTGACCTGAAAAATCATGTCAATGACATGATTTAAAATGAATGTTCAGACCTATTTATATATATATATATATATATATATATATATATATATAAAAAAGTGAATTATATTTATGCATTAACAATTCATGGTAAGTGAAAAATATAAACAAATTTTAAAAGTTTATTTCAAAACATTTTTTATTAAAATAATAATTTAAGGTGCAGTCACATTAGCAAAATTTCATCGAAAAGTGTAGAGCTGTATGAAGCACAGAAGTCACTATCAAACCAAGCAGGTTTCTGTGGTTCAACGTGGCGATTTTGCATGACCAACTTGAAAGTGAGCGAAATCTTGTGCACTCACGCAAAACTCCCAGTCGCACTGATTCCTATTTGAATGATTGGATTTTGTCAATGATATTTTGCAGAGCAACGGCAAATGTGAAAACTGTGCACTCACTTATATTCAAGGTGTAAACAGTACTACTTTTTAAAATATTTATTTTATTGACACTCTTTTTGATACAAG